TGAACCAGGTTATGAACTGTCTGTCCGTTCAGTGGTCACCTGGGAGAATAGTGATAAACTGTTTGTGTTCCCTGCCTCGGTCGTTGAGACCGTAAATGCACTGTCTGTTTCCTGTGTCTCAGTTTTCCTCAGGTTCCAGTCTCTGCCATGTCGTGGTGGTCTTCTGCTCCGTCAGCTCTGCCGTAGTGGTCTTCTGCTCTGTCGTGGAGGTCTTCTGTTCTGTTTGTTCGACCGTGATGGTCTTCTGCTCCGTCTGCTACGCCGTGGTGGTCTTCTGCGCCATCGTGGGGGTCTTCTGTTCTGCTCTGGTGGTCTTCTGCTCTGCCCTGGGGATCTTTGAACTCGTCTGCTCTGCTGGTGGCGGTCCTCAGCCTCACCTGTTCTGCCGGTCCCATCGTGGTTCTCTGCTTCGCCAGTTCTGACTCAATCCCAGGGTCATCCATCTCCACATGGACCTGGCCCTCCATCCCTCCCCTGGTTCCACCTCCGCTCCACCACCTTCCTGGTTTTTGTAGTGTTTGGAGCGTCTGGAAGCCGCTCCTTGGGAGGGGGCTCTGTCACAAATCCGGTCCATGGACTTTCATCCAATGAACACAAGAGGTCGCTCTCTCACCATATTGACACTCACTCCACATAGACTGTCACACATCACTCTGGACTACATCTCCCATGCTCCACTGCACTGATTGCGCACTCACCTGCATCCAATAACTCACTCTGATCCTGTTCTAGTCATAATCTTGTCTTGCTGGTTTACTCGTGTTTTGACTCTTACCTGTATTGACCATGTCATTGAATAAAACCTTGCAAGAGGATCCGCTCGCCTCACATCTCTGTTCATTAGCATTAATGATATGTAAAAACCTGTGCGGCCTACACTTAATGAACATTCTTTCTTGAACATTCGATGCACATGTGTTGATCACATGGAAATGAACAACACGATGCATGAATTAAGAGCTTCATTAACAAGCAATTATTATCATATTTTATCTTTTTATTTTGTGTATTCTTAATTTGGGGACTTAAATTCATGCAGTGGAAGTGTACGATCTGCTTGTTTTCTTGTGAAAGGAGGGCTCGGCTGTTAAAACCCTACAGATTAAAACATGGAAGCTTTATTCAATTTCTCACAAATCCGGTCCATGGACTTTCATCCAATGAACACAAGAGGTCGCTCTCTCACCATATTGACACTCACTCCACATAGACTGTCACACATCACTCTGGACTACATCTCCCATGCTCCACTGCACTGATTGCGCACTCACCTGCATCCAATAACTCACTCTGATCCTGTTCTAGTCATATTCTTGTCTTGCTGGTTTACTCGTGTTTTGACTCTTACCTGTATTGACCATGTCATTGAATAAAACCTTGCAAGAGGATCCGCTCGCCTCACATCTCTGTTCATTAGCATTAATGATATGTAAAAACCTGTGCGGCCTACACTTAATGAACATTCTTTCTTGAACATTCGATGCACATGTGTTGATCACATGGAAATGAACAACACGATGCATGAATTAAGAGCTTCATTAACAAGCAATTATTATCATATTTTATCTTTTTATTTTGTGTATTCTTAATTTGGGGACTTAAATTCATGCAGTGGAAGTGTACGTTCTGCTTGATTTCTTGTGAAAGGAGGGCTCGGCTGTTAAAACCCTACAGATTAAAACATGGAAGCTTTACTAGAAGCAGTCCGATTCCATCTCTGTACACAGATTGTCTGTGTTCATTTAAATCATTTAATGCACTAAGGGTGCACTTAACAAAAAAATCATTCACATCAGGCACATGGTAGCCAACCCAGTCCATGTGCTAACATCCCTTTGATATTTAACTGCCCACTTTGCAGTTTTGAGGAGCCCTGCAAAGAGGCAATTTTTTTTTCTAATTTGCGGCAGCATCTCAGAAATCATGAAACTGTGCATTGTTTTGAGAGCAATGTCTACTCTACATTTAATTTCCATAAATGTAGAGAGCATGGATCATTTGATCGGAGGCAATTGAAATCTGACATTCTCTTGCACATCGCTACTCACAGTGTAGATAATGTGTAGCAAGAAGAGCCTTTGAGCCCTGATCCTGTAGATGAACACTTGGAGGAAAAAATGATATAGAGAATGAAAACCTTGATGTATTGCATCATCAATTTGAGCATAATTTAGCCTCACTCTTTCTCAAAATGCAGTTAATTTAGCATGTTTCTGATTCGACTGCGCAGGAAATAATTCAACAAATAAATCAAATTGTACTTCTTTCAGAGCCTGGGGCCGCAAAGCCAGAGCCAGAGTGTTTATCATGCAATTCAGCAAATTCTCCTTGAGCATGGACTGAGTGGCTGTGATTCATTAGTGAGAAAATTAGTGAATGCAGTAAAAGACAGTAACCCAATATTGGCAATGACCAATGATGGCAAGCCTCTTTCCACAATAAGCAGAAGAGCATCATATTTTCAGAGTAAATTTCCAATAATCATGCCAATTGAATACAAGCTTGATTCACAGTCAGTCTCTTATGTGCCAGTTCTGCAAATGTTGCAGAAAATTCTAAACAGAGCTGACATTCTAAATAGGGTCCTTTGCAATGATCGATCAGTTAATGAATTCAAGACTTACATAGATGGCACTCACTATCAAGAAAATAACTTTTTCAACACTGATACCTTCAGGATTGTCCTGGGTCTTTATGTGGATGATTTTGAGCTTGCCAATCCCCTTGGCACCTCCAGAAAAAAACACAAAATGGTTGCTCTCTATTGGGTTCTAACCAACCTTGCCTCAAAAGATCGTTCATCACTTCAGTCAATTCAGCTAGCAATTTTATGCAGAGCTAGTGCAGTTAAACAATATGGTTACACAGACATCTTGTGCCCAGTTGTTCAGGACCTTGAAACTCTTGAAAAGCATGGTGTATACATTGAACAGTTAGGAGACTGTGTGAAAGGAAGTGTGCTTTTTGTGTCATCTGATAATCTAGGTGCTCATTCTTTCGCAGGAATACAGGAGAGTTTCACTGTTGAGCACCTGTAGCGAATCAGCTCATGGGGAAATATGAATAATTAACCATAACTAGTTATAATTAACTATTCATATTTTAGATCCACTGTAGATATTTAGCTGACCACTCAGGGTCAACTGTCTTGTCAATTCTAAGACGTTAATTTCCTGGTTAAGGGACATAACTTTCTTACTGTACAATTCTATAAGTTTGTAACGTAAATCTGCATGATTATTGACTCCGGTTATGAGTAAACAATGAACACGTCAAGTGTGATACAAGTAAGGTTTTATTAACTACATAAACACTTAAACTAGTCCAACATATTACATAAACACATTAAGCCGGTCTAACATACACATACACACACACACACACATACAGTTGGTATAGGAAAGGGTTAAAGTTTAACTCAGCATAGAAAGAGGCATAAAGAATGGATTTTATGGCTTTGCTCTGTGAATTCTTAAGGTGAATTCCCATCCCTCGTGAAAACGAGATAGAACTATGAAACTCAGAACTCCGTTAACAGTCTTTCCTTCCTCTGAACTGTATGTTTGTGTGTTTTAGCTTAAGTTTATGTGATCTAGAATAGCCAATAAATTTCGTGTTTCATTTATAACTAATCAATTGTCTGGGTCATATAATTTCGTGTCAATTCTATTGCCAAACGATCCTTGCTTGTTACCTTAGCTCGTAGCTTACGCATAATAATTACCTCTCTTTCAAGAGCTGACAAATCATCAAATTTTGTATTTCACCCGTGGCCAGGGAGAATACAAAAATTACATATTCAATTGGTAATATACACTGACATCAGCTTCTCGCTGGCCGAGTAGCTGATAAAAGTATAAACTATTGAAAGTCAAAGTCAGTTTTGATCAGGTGGACCTCGAATTCTCAGATCGAGTTCTTTTAAAACCTGAGCTAGAAATAAACCTGAATGAATTAATAATGATTAATTCCCTTACAACTAAGTAAATTATTACAGTAAGCATGAATAAAAATAGTCTATAATACAACAGATTAATACAAAACAGCAATAATATACACAATGGCCTGAAGGATATGTGTATTCAATCAAAGAAAGGTTTTCCTATGAATTAATTAGTAGAACAGTCCATTTCTCCTGTGCATTTGTACCCCTTAGCTCTGGAGAAAGCAGCTGAGAGCCGGCTCGCATTCCACAAGGTTGTAAATGTATCGGGTTACCATGAAACCAGGGTCTTGTTCGGCGTCCTGGGGTGTTACAAAGTATTTGTGAAATCTAGCTAACAAAATATATATTGTGTGTTGGAGTGGTCCAGACGCTACACACCCATGTCGGTTCTGCTTTGCAAAGAGGAGTGAAATCCAGGAGAAGGAGGTCCAGTCGGGAGCATTTGAACTGAGAGCCAAGCAAGAGCATGACATGCAAGTGGCTGAAGTGTTACACGATGCAAGTTTGGTAAAGCAGTATGAAGTGAAAGGTTGGAACATTTTCACACAGTTGGTGGTTTTCCACCTGACATAATTCACAACCTTATGGAGGGTGTCATCCCTATTGAAATGTCCTTGTGCATTAATGATTTGGTCTCAAGAAAATGAATCTCTCTTGAATGCCTGAATCAAGCTATCAAGCGGTTTCCTTACACATTCTCAAATTTGATCAGCCTCAGATCATCCCAGACACATTTGTCTCAAAAGGTACCATTGGGGGTAATGCCCATGAGAATTGGGCGCTTATTAGACTTCTGCCCCTCATGGTTGGCCTTCATATCCCTGAAAATTATCAAACATGGGAAATTGTGTTGCTTCTGAAAGATATTTTAGAAATGGCATTGGCATTCAAGTTCACTGAGGATTCTCTTGATTTTCTTGAAGCAAAGATCGCAGAACACAGACATTTACTTTTAACAGTCTTTCCTCATTTCACATTGCGCCCTAAACACCACTACATTGAGCACTATCCGCAGGTCATACGAATGTATGGACCACTAAGAGATATGTGGACTATGCGATTTGAGGGAAAATATAAATTCTTCAAGCAGGTAATCTGTGACACCAAAAACTTCAAAAATGTTCCACAAACTTTGGCTGTTCATCATCAAAGACTACTGGCTTACAACATTGACTCGCCCTCCTTTCTCAAGCCATCCATACAGACAAAGAAGGTGATGGGTACTGTGATTTCAACTTTCCCTGAGAACATTCAGGAATTCCTGAGACAAACAAATGCAGTTCAGAACACTGTCCTCACAGCATCATCTGTGAGCATTGATGGAATCCAGTATAATCCAGACATGGTTGTATCTGTTGATACTTGTTCAGGCCTAACTGATTTCAGAGAGATTTTCAAAAATTTTGTCATCAACAGTGATGCTCTGTTTGTGTGTGAAGATCTGACATGTTGGTACATTGAGTACCTACGTTCTTTTGAACTGTGCAGTCATGTGCTATCACTGTTAATTACCAAACCCTCAGATCTGAATGACCCATTTCCTTTGCCAGCCTATACACTTCGGGGCAGGACCTATGTTACACTCAAACATTATATCATATGCTGAATGAATGACAATTCAGGTTTTAAAGGGACTTCAGAAATTCTGCAAATTGTCATTATTTACCCTCATTCTTATTGGGAAGATTTCTGAACTATGTCAGAAATCTCTTTTCTGTACTATGTCAGAAGATAGCAGGCATTGCTTCTCAAGCTTCAGGAGGACACAAAAGCATCATATATTTCATTCAACTGCAAGTGCTCAAATATTAGATCAATGGCTTTGGTGAGAATCAAACTGAAATGTAATTCATAATTTTCTTTAAATTGTCACATTCTGCATGCACTTGTGAGAGCAAATGCTATCTTGTTCAAGATTTACCTGTATATACTCTAATAGGGAAACGTACAAACAACACATGCAATATACCAGATATATTTGTAGAGTATAATAGAGTAACGGTCTTTATGTGTGTGTGTGTTTGTTATTTTGCTTGGCCAGCCAGGCCCATCGGGGTCATTTACAGCTCTTTGGACAGTGTTTGAAGTCAGATGGGGGAGATGATAGTGGGGGGGACTGGTTAGAATCTCCTTGATGGCGAGGAACCATTTGGCAATTTAAACCCCCATACAATGTAAAGTCTCTGACAAGAACTGTAATTTATATGCAAATGTCAAAAGGCTAAAAGGGTCTCTTAAGCCATAAAACCCCAAAGATCATCCATGATTCTACGCAGACGCTACAATACAGTTAAATTAATTATGTATTGAAGTTGATTTCTCAACAAACCCATTCATGTGTCTTAAATGCTTGGACTGCATGGCATAAGTCAGCCTTTGTGTACTTTTTAAAGTACAAGGATGAGTGAAACTTTTCGAATAATTTTTTTCAAAGGATGGGTTTAGAATTATGAATTTTTTATTATTTTTTTGGTGTGTTGTACTTGTTTAATTTAGGAAAACTAACTCAATTCTTTAACCTTCGTAGAGAGACCAAATATTGAGACAAGGACCATACTCAGAGTTATAGTTTGTGACAATGACATCAGAAAAATCGTACTTCATGTGAAACTACAGACAGTTGACTCACTGTCGGAACAACTTGAAGAAAAGCTGGGACTTCAGTATAAGTTCACACTTCAGTTTGAGGATCCAGATTTCAACAATTCCCTTGTGAATCTTACCAATATTGCTGACTTGCCAGATAAGCCCACACTGAAGATTGTCTCCCTTGTGACGACACCAACCCCTAGCACAGCTGACACTGAAGTCCTGTCTGTGGCTTCTGATGAGCATTCGCGTCATAGTCTACAGACTGCATGGCCAGAAGCTTTTGAGATCCCTACTTTTCCTGTTGACGTTGAATACGGATTACTTCAGGGAAATCTACAGTACATGCGAGATCAAACATATCTACAATTGTCAGGAGAGCTTAAGCATGAGATTCTCGAAAAACTCTCAGAGACAATATACAGTTACAAAGCTTACCCTGATAAGGAAAATTCAGAGGCTGTTGCTGCTGCTTTGATAATAAAACATCCCTGCCTTACCCAGCCTGGATCATCGAACGGGTGGAATGGGTGGTATGATAGCCTCAGATGGAAAATGGGTAATTACCGTTCAAAACTGCGTCAAACTGGATGTTTGGAGGTATCCATAAATGGTGGGAAAAGAAGAGGACAGCAGCCTCAGAGAAACATCAAAAGACCTAAGAGGTTTGAAATCAATTGTCTACCGAACTTCCCTGATGGTGAAGATGAAGCCAGCATGGAGTCCAAAAGGAAAGAGATGGTGGAAGACATGAAGAAACGTCGTCTTAATGCTGCACTGATAGCCCAGAACATGAACTCTACATTTGCCTTGCGTAGAAAGGAATTGATAGAGAAGTGTATTATTTGTATTTTGTTGTCTTTGTATTCTCAACTTAGAATTTTGAGAAATTTAAGGCAATCAGTTTCCACACATTCTTCTAGTAAAATGAACAAGCAGACATGTTAAAGAACTGTTTTGTTTGAGTTCTGCTTACAAAGCTTAACTTAAATATGTAAGTTGGCTGTACGTTTGAAATTGAGTTACCTGTACTCAAGTTTTATGGTAACTTCTAGAAAAACACAAGTTAAGTCTACAAAGTAGTAGCAAGTAGGTTCAAGTCAAAAAGTATGACCATAATTTGCTTGAAAACTTTGAGGCAATCAGTGAGTGTGTCCTCGCTGAAGCCTGCAGCACGATGACGTAGCTGGACTATATCCACTACATAGTGGATATTTTACGCGTGTGCGCTGTGTAGCGAATTTAGCTCAACGACAGGAAATATGAATAATTAACCATAACTAGTTATAATTAACTATTCATATTTTAGATCCACTGTAGATATTTAGCTGACCACTCAGGGTCAACCGTCTTGTCAATTCTAAGAACGTTAATTTCCTGGTTAAAGGAAATAACTTTCTTACTGTACAATTCTATAAGTTTGTAACGTAAATCTGCATGATTATTGACTCCGGTTATGAGTAAACAATGAACATGTCAAGTGTGATACAAGTAGGGTTTTATTAACTACATAAACACCTAAACTAGTCTAACATACTACATAAACACATTAAGCCAGTCTAACATACACATACACATATCAGAGTTAGCCTAAATGTCTTTTTGATTCTATCCGTCATGTTTATTTAAATTTAACTGGGGATATTAAATTAATGCCGATCCATTTTGTTTATTTAGATTTTATATTATTCTAATATAGCTAGAGAGAGAGAGAGAGAGAGAGAGAGAGCGCTCTCGTAATGGAATGGATGGTTTATTTATTTATCCATTTATAATTGGTATATCTATCTCCAGGGATTTTACTTGCATGTAGGCCTAACACAAAAAAAGTGTTAGGCCTTTGTGTTAATATGCCTTGTCCCCGACCGTGTGTGTATTTATTTGCTGGGCATGGGATTAACTGTAAAAACCTGGTATAACCCGGGATAAAGGATCTATCGGCTATACGGAACCCCGACTGACAGGATTGTTTTTCTTCTTTTTATATGGTATAAAAATTATGTCCGCATATTTTAGTAGGCCTATAACTTTTTTTATAATCTGTCACGTATAGCACAGAGAGTGAGAACGAAAAATAATATTTGATTCATGAACACATTTTGGACAGCACTATCTAACTATCAGAGGAAAAAATAAAGACAATAGTTACACCCCATTTTTTTCATAAAGAACGAACAAAATTGTAATTAGTAGAGTTTTATTTCTAAAACGAATCAAACTAATAAAAAATAAACATAGCTTACATACCCTTTCATTCAAAACTACGCCATCGTTGCTTAAATAAAGTTTGAATACACTACTAGTTTAAAATCACAGTATAATATAATTTGTGTAAGCCTATGAAACACTTATATCTCGTAATTACAGTTTAATTTACATTAAATACTAGCTTCAATGACAGCCCCACTTTGCGCGTGCACATTAAAATCCAATACCTGCACATGCTCGTCAAACATCCAATACGTATTGGATCTGATCCAGCTACGTCATTGTGCTACAGGCTGCAGCGAGGACCTCTTGCAATCAGTTTCCACAGCTTTTCTAAGTAAAGTCAACTTATTACTTTTAGTGTAAAATAATTGTTTTCTATTTGAATATATTTTGAAATGTAATTTATTCCTGTTTACCATATTTAATCTGCTCTGTGTATGTTCACTGATCAGTGTTAAGGGTGGGTTAAGGTGTAAGGGATGGGTCAACAGTGTAATTATAAATGTAATTACATGCAGGTATTTTTTATATATGTACAATGTAAAAACATATACACAATAAATGCATTGTACCAAATTATTAATTTAAATGTAAGCACATAGATGTTATAGCCCCTTAATTTAAAGTGGGTCCTATTATTGTATTTTTTTTATTATTATTATTTTATTTATATTATACGCAAGCAGTGACAGAATCAGAAACTCATGTAATCTGTGCACAAAAGTTTTATTTACTAAACACTAACACAAACTAGTCTAACAAACATATACACACACACACACACATAGAGGGGGATTAAAGTGGATGAATGAAACCGTTAGAGAAACCAGAGAATGCAGCTATGGAAAATGAGTCCGTTAACCACCTGAGCAGAAACCATCAGTGCCATTTTACAACAGGGTCTACAGCTTATACTAAACCTGTGTTTTGTTTAGTTAAATTTTTGATACTTGCATTGCCTTGGCTGTTGAACGAGCGTCTGGATGTTCAAAGGTTTGGTGGTGTTGGAATTATGATCACGTTCTTCCAGGTTCCAAGAGTGATGAACTCCAAAGATGTTACTCTGAGTCAGTGGTGGTCTCTCAGGTGGAAAG